ATGCTGGTTCGACTGATGCTGGTTCGACTGATGCTGGTTCGACTGATGCTGGTTCGACTGATGCTGGTTCGACTGATGCTGGTTCGACTGATGCTGGTTCGACTGATGCTGGTTCGACTGATGCTGGTTCGACTGATGCTGGTTCGACTGATGCTGGTTCGACTGATGCTGGTTCGACTGATGCTGGTTCGACTGATGCTGGTTCGACTGATGCTGGTTCGACTGATGCTGGTTCGACTGATGCTGGTTCGACTGATGCTGGTTCGACTGATGCTGGTTCGACTGATGCTGGTTCGACTGATGCTGGTTCGACTGATGCTGGTTCGACTGATGCTGGTTCGACTGATGCTGGTTCGACTGATGCTGGTTCGACTGATGCTGGTTCGACTGATGCTGGTTCGACTGATGCTGGTTCGACTGATGCTGGTTCGACTGATGCTGGTTCGACTGATGCTGGTTCGACTGATGCTGGTTCGACTGATGCTGGTTCGACTGATGCTGGTTCGACTGATGCTGGTTCGACTGATGCTGGTTCGACTGATGCTGGTTCTGGTGCCGGTGGTGGCGATGTTAATGCTGCCTGCCTCAGACGCTGATTCTCTTGCTGCTGGGTGAATGGGTGGGTGCGTGCGTGGGTGGTGTGGTGTGGTGTGGTGTGGTGTGGTGTGGTGTGGTGTGGTGTGGTGTGGTGTGGTGTGGTGTGGTGTGGGTGCGGGATTACACAGATTGGTTGCACCGACCGAGCAGGGGTGAAGCATGACGTGGTGGGTGAGTGGATGGGAGTGGCGATCAACAAGGCACCAGGCAGGCGTTCTGTGAGCTCTCTGTTGCAGGGTGTTTTTGAGAATTCTCAAAAACACCCTGCAGCATCGTGAGTGGATGGGATTGGTGTTCAGCAAGACACCAGGCAGGCGTTCTGTGAGCTCTCTGTTCAACCGAGTCTCCTGTGAATCTCCTTGCATGTTCTCCCTTGCTCCAGGCCTGAGTCGGCTACCTCGTGAACCAATTCTGTGCGGAGGGAGTCTATAGGAGTGGCGCTCAGCAAGGCGCCAGGCGTGCTGGTGCTCTCTCCTATAGCCTCTCCTCTCACATCCTGCTGCCCTACCACTCACTGTGTGTCTCATGTCCTCGTCTTGTCCCCCTTGTCCTTAGGCACGTGTGGACTACCTGGTCAACCAAGTGTGTGCAGGGAGTGGATAGGAGTGGTGCTCAGCAAGGCGCCAGGCGTGCTGGTGGGCTCTTCAGAACCTTCACTCCCATATCTTCTGCTGTGTACCGTCTTCTTCTGTGTATCTTCTGCCTGTCACGTTTTCAGGCCCGAGTAATCTACCTGGTCAATCAAGTGGGCGTGCGCAGGGAGTGGGTGGGAGTGGTGCCGAGCAAGGCGCCAGGGGTGCTGGTGGATCTCTTTGAGAAGCTTCTAGGAAAGGGGCGGCTGCTCTCACATCCCGCTGCCATACCCACTTACTGTGTGTCTCCTGTCCTCGTCCCCCTTGTTCGTAGGCTTGAGTAAACTACCTGGTCAACCAAGTGGGCGTGCGCAGGGAGTGGGTATCTCTCCCAAGCAAGTTAGGGATGAGGTGAGGTACGGATGGGTGTGGATGAGCATCGCATCATCTTCCGCTTGTTTCTCACCCTTCGCTTGTGCCACCCGTTTCTTGTTCCCCTCTGGTCTGTCTCCTCCAGCTGATCTCTCCTCCCCTTCGCCCATCGCTTTCTCTTTCCCTCTCACGTGCCCTTGTGCTGTCTGCCCTTGGTGTTGTGCCTCCCATTTCTCCTTCCCCTCAGGTTCGTTTCCTTCGGCTTATTGGAGTTCCCGAGGCAGATGTAGCGGGAGTGCTGCACCGCTTTCCACCCATCCTCACCTACAGCCTCGCCAAGAAGATAAGACCGCTGGTGAGTTGCAGATGCTGGCTGATATGACAGCCCTACAGGCAATTTGACTTTTGAGTCGACTCAGTTGACTTTTGAGTTTTGAGTCGACTCAGTTGACTTTTGAGTTTTGAGTCGACTCAGTTGACTTTTGAGTTTTGAGTCGACTCAGTTGACTTTTGACTTTCGAGTCAACTCAGATGACTTTTGACTTTTGAGTCGACTCAAAAGTCAACCCAGATACTGGCTGATATGACAGCCCTACAGTCAATGTTTTAGGCACTTCAAAAATCATCTTGATTCACGCTGTAGGTCGGAGGCCCTGTAGGTCGCTTCACGCTTCACGCTGGCGGATATTAGTTGAATTGACAGCCCTCCGACCTACAGGGAAGAATCGGTGTTACCCTTCCTGCTACGCACCAACCCTCCTTCCTCAGGTTCGGTTCCTCGTCACCGAAGCAGGAGTCCCGGACCACGAGGTTTGGAAGGTCGTGGCGGCTCGGCCGGACCTGGTGGCGTGCCATCTGGACGACAGGCTTCGTCCGCTAGTGCGCTTCCTGCTCTCCATGGGGGTGGTGAGGGAAGACGTGGGGAGCATGGTTGTTCAGTTTTCCCCTCTTCTCAAGTCTAATCCGGCTATCCTCAAGCCCAAGTGGCGGTATTTTCAGCGGACCACGAGGCTGACCGTCGACCATCTGGTTGCCTTCCCACGGTGAGAGTGGGGCAAAAGGTATCTCTACTTTGGTGCAGTACAGTTCAGTACGGTTCAGGCTTCGTCCGCTAGTGCGCTTCCTGCTGTCCATGGGGGTAGTGAGGGAGGATGTGGGGAGTATGGTGGTTCAGTTTTCCTCTCTGATCAAGTACAATCCGGCTATCCTCAGACCCAAGTGGCGATACTTCCAGCGGACCATGCGGTTGACTGTTGACCATCTGGTTGCCTTCCCACGGTGAGTGCGGATAGGATTCCGGCTGAATGGTATGTCTTCCAGGGTGCAGTATACGGTTTTTCCTACAGTGCAGTTCGGTTTATTGCAGTGAAGATCAGGCAAAGAGAGAGAGGACGTCGGGAGCATGGGGGCTGAGATCGTGCCTCTACTGACCTACTGTTGCGACGTCTCAATACGGTATTGTTCGGATATTCTCAAGCCCGAGTGACAGTACTTCCAGATTACAGTCTGTGTCACTGTTGCCCACTGATTGCCATCACACGGTGAGTGCTCGTGACGGGGTAGGGTTTGGGGTAGATGGTTAGTTTCCAATAATGTAATGCGGTGTAGGGCGGTGGAGACCACGGTGGTGCAATGCTGAAGCTCTGACACTGACTCGAGCCGTGGGCCTGCTGTCATTGAGCTTCTGTCCTTTTGCACATTCTCTCCTCCGCTTTCCCCCCACACCCACCATTCCTGCTTCCCAAGCAGCTTCTTCAGCTATGCCCTGGACACGCGCATTGCTCCGAGGCACCGCCTGCTGCAGCAGACAGGGCTGTCCTTCAGCCTCTGGCACGTGCTGTGCTGCTCTGATGCCCACTTCCCATGCCCTCGTCACGTGCCCCTGCCGTTTTTCCTTCCCACCGTGTCTCTTCCCTCCTTCCAAGCAGCTTCTTCAGCTATGCGTTAGACACGCGCATTGCCCCGCGACACCGCCTGCTGTAGCAGCATGGGCTGTTGTTCAGCCTGAGGCACATGATGTGCTGCTATGACTCTGATGCCCTCTTCCCATGCCCTCTTCTTATGCTCGTCTCATGCCCCACCTCTCACAGCTTCTTCAGCTATGCCCTGGACACGCGCATTGCTTCGAGGCACCGCCTGCTGCAGCAGCAAGGGCTGTCCTTCAGCCTCCGACACATGCTGTGCTGCTCTGATGAGCTATTCTTGGAGCGGGTTTCGTGGGCTTTGGAGGGGAGAGGAGAGGGGAGTGGAGGGGATGGGAAGGGATGGGAGAGTGGAGAGGAGAGTGAGGTGGATGGGGAAGGGGAAGAGGAAGACGGCGAGGAAGCAGAGGAGGGAGAGGAGAAACGGGGGAAATAGATGTGGAGGAGAGGAGAGAAAGCTTAGCATAGAAAGGTCGAGCGTTCAGCCTGAGGCACATGCTGTGCTGCTCTGATGAGCTGTTTTAAGATCGGGTTACGTGGGCGTTAGAGGGGAGAGGAGAGGATGGGAGGGGAGAGGAGAGCGAGGTGGATTGGGATGGGGAAGAGGAAGAGGGGGGAGGAATCAGAGGTAGGAGAGTAGGAATAGGTGTGGATGAGAAGAGAGCAATCTTAGCAAGGTCGAGCGTTCAGGCTGAGGCACATGCTGTGCTGCTCCGGTGAGCTGTTTCTGGAGGGGAGAGGGGAGGAGGGGAGTGGAGGGAAAAGTGAGGTGGAATGGGAATGGAAGAGGGGGAGGAAGCAGAGGTGGAGGGAGGAGAGGAGAGCAGGCTTGGTGTAGGTGAATGCTACATTCATTGTTCAGCCTGTGGCACATGCTGTGCTGCTTTGAGTTTTAAGGTGCCTCATAGCTTGGATTAACTAGATGATAAGGTTCATAATATAACCTATGGCACATGCTGTGTTGCTCCGATTCTCTGGATTCTTTGGGCGCTGAATGGAGGTGAGGGTAGTGGGGAGGAGGGGAGAGGGAGGAGAGCGAGAGGACTGGACAGGGAAAGAGGAAGAGGGGGAGGAAGAGATCAGGCTTAGAACAAGGAACCTTTGTCACTTTGGGGAAATATTTGTATGTTGTCACGCTCTGATATGTATGTTGTCTTCCCTATTTACTGGTCAATATGAAGCAGCTAATTTTTTTTATTACCAAATGGGTGTTATCAAGTCACAGCACAAGACAAACAGAATGTTGCATACAAGCAGCCAAACCCTATCTGCCCAATCCAAACTCAGCAAAAGCAAAGCAAAGCCAGACAACTAAACCAGAACTAACCCAGAGGTGAATGCCCATCAAAGCACTCAGCCAAACCAAACCAAACCAAACCAAACCAACCATCACTACAGCTGCGCGAGAATCTATTCAGTGAAGTGTGTGCAGAGGCGGTATCCCACACGACAGCACCAGCACTGCACGGGGATTCGCATCACTTATTTCACTTATTCTTGTTACCGCACTCGGGGCTCTGCCCCTAACCCACACCGCTTATGACGCGATCTTAAAGAGAACGCAGCGCTGATTTTCAGGAATGACGTCTGAGCCTTGTCCCTGGTTGAGGTTAACGGTTTTCTTGCCCACTTTCAGCTCTGCGCTGGTGATTGGCACCTTCACCAGCTGGCCGCGCAGCTTCCCCTCGTCTCCCTTCTGCACGAAGCGCATCACGATCACCTGCGGAAGAGAGGGGGGGTGGGGGTGGGGGAGTAAGCAACGCACTTTGAATCGCTTGCGGGGCACCAGGTGAAGCACCACAAAGCCAAGGGCGTGCGGAGGGGGAGAGGAACAGGCGGGATGGGGGAGGAATGCAATGCACGGAAGAGCAGCAGGGGGATGATGTAACGCGCACCTCGAGGGCTTAGGAGCAGTTTTGGCTTACGTTATCGCGAGCGTAGAACTGGTTGCGGAGATTCTCCGTGCCCTTCCGCGCGCACGGGTACTGCGCGCCGTCCGAGTTGAGCCTGATAATAGACACGCCGTCTGCTACCAAGGTCGTTCCGATGGGCGTCTCGCCCCGGGGCAGGTTGAACACGGGGATAGAGCCCTGGAATCCGCCGAACGAGAAGGCGCACGAGGACGGCGACGGCGACGAACTACACCCGCCGGCCGACGGCCGCTGGCTGCCGCCATGATGATGATGATGCGACGAATCGCCCGCCGGGTTGTGGCGCTTGAGGATCCTTGCGACCCCGGGTCGCTTGAACGCCTGCGAATCAGCCATGGTAACCAAATGAAAACGATGACGTGTGTAGAGAGAAAAGGTAGATAGATAAAAACCGGGTCGCTTGAATTCCTGCAAATCAGCCATTGGGTAGTAACTGAAATGAAATCTATGACGTGCGTAGAGATAGAAAGTGTAGATGGCTGGGAATCGGCTGGAAGAGCACTCAGAAAATTAATGACATGGAAAGCTACTACTACTAGTAGTTGTGATAAATGGTAGAGAAGTATACCGCGGATGATGGCTTCGCCGTGGCCGTGGCCTCAGTAAGCAAAATGAGGCACGCTACGAAAATGGGTAGCAGGAGGTAGGCGCGATTCGCCATGTTGAGAGGGAACACAAGCGTGCTTCGAATGAGCAGGAGTGCTAGTAGAGGTGGTGTTTTATGCAGGTACGGGGTCTGGACTTGTGGCGGATGGATGGATGGATGAAGTCGAGTTTCTGGCGAAACTAGCAGAGTGACGAATGGCTTTATCGTGAAATGGTAGCGTGAAGTGCGGGAATACCAACCACGAAATCGGTCCAGCGAAGGTTTGCGGAGCCAATTGTTACAAGGATGGGATTTCGCTGCCCACTGCGAAATTTCAACTGCGTCCAAAAAATAATTGGGCAATTATATCGGCGCCAGTCACGGCGTCGACTCGACACACGAAGCTTCGATGTTGCGATTTATGAAGAAAATACTGAATAGCGTAGCGGGAAGTTTACAAAACCATCAACACACGTAAGAAAAGGCAACTTGTATTCGTCTTTTGAGTCATGAAGCATAAGGATAAAGCAATTTAAAATATAAAAGATAGCCCTTCCGTGATTTATTTCAATATGACCTTAGGCGTGGATCGGCATTGCAGGTTCGATACCGTGCCACACCTCCATGATGCGGTATAGTGGGTGCTGATATAACTTAAGGACCGAAATGGATATGATAAGGCTGCTAAGTTTGTAGAGAAGACAAGAAAGTCCTCTGGTGATTTTGTTAACAATAGTTGAAAGCGAACAAGATGATTAAAACCGACATATAAAATAATGAACCCCATCCCAACGTGAAAGAGTATTTAGAGTTCGGGCCGATTGAGCACTGTTCCAAACAAAACGAGTAGCAATGTAAACAAACGCGATTGGCTCTCGCCAATCTTGATTCTTCATGTTCCCGCCAAAATATGTTTTTCACACAGATCTCCTCCGTCACTTGTATTCTACCTACCTACGGCGTACAACATCCTTCTTGATTGCTTGCTAACCATCTACTTCCTTCCTATCACAACACTTCATAGGAAAAATAAAAAGCATATGGCAAGTTGGCAATGTGGTGTAGCTACGGGCATCTCTGTTAGGCAGAGGCGCAGGCCTAATCGTGGAGAACGAAACGACAGACCTCTTGATCACCTTCAACCCTGTCATCCCGCCCCCCTCGCCATTTCCCTTAAAGCTGTTGCTATGAAGCCACGAAAAGGGTGGGTCTGAGACGAAGGTGGAGGGAGTGGTGGCAGTGGAGGCAGGTACTGCAGTGGAGCATACGGCATGGCATGGCATGACATGGCATGACATGACATGACTTCACAGTGTGGTGTAACTCCGGGCATCTCTAATAGCTGGAGGCGCGACCCTCATCGGGGAAAACGAAACGACAGACCGCTTGATCACCTTCAGCCCTGGCATCCCCCGCGTGTCACCGTCCCCATTTCCCTTTATGCTGTTGCTCTGAAGCCACGAAAACGGCGCGTCGGAGAGGAAAGTGGAGGGAGTGGTGGCGGTGGAGGCAGAGGCTCCAGTGGGGCTGGACGGCTGGCTTGCTGCTTCTTTGAGCTCTTCCAGAACTGTCTGGCACTTGTGCTGATACCACCAGTCCTCCTCCACTAGCCTGGACATGGGAAGGAGGGAGGAAAGAGGGAAGGGGGGAAGAGAGGGAGACGGGTCCATCACATTCAATCAACGGCTGTGCTTCACTCTCACGATCTTGGAAAATTCATCAAGTCAGTGCATCAGCTGTACGCATGCATGGCTGCATACGTCTTCTGATTACCAATATAATGGCGAAAAGCCACCGCTGCCCTTCCTGCCAGCCTGCCGTATTCAACCGCTCTCAAACCTTCTTCACCTCTTGGGATCCTCCCCCGTGCGTGCACTGTAAGCCACAATCGCCTGCGTGGCTGCATCCTCTGCCAACCCCCGGATGAGAGGAGAGGAACAGCAACCACATACCCTTCCAGCCAGCCCACCGCATTCAACCGCTCTCAACCCTTGCTCACCTCTTGGGATCCTCCCCTGTGCGTGCACTGTAGGCCACAATCGCCCGTGTGGCTGCATCCTCTGCCAAACCCCGGATGAGCGGAGAGGAGGTCTTGCCACTGTGCGCTGCTTGCACCACGAAATACATGTCAAACACGAGCTGGGAGAGGGGAGGGAGGGGAGTAGAGGATGGGGGGTGGGAGGGAGAGAGGGGGGAGGCGCAAGGGGAACGAGCGGAAACGGCATCATGAATGGTCCTCCCGCTGTGAGCACCTTGCACCAAGGTAAAAGTCAAGCACGAGCAGGGTAAACATGGGGAAGGGAGGAAGGGTATACCTGGTCCGGACAATACCTGGTGCAGGCCATACCTGGTGCAGGCCATACCTGGTGCAGGCCTTACCTGGTGCAGGCCTTACCTGGTGCAGGCCATACCTGGTGCAGGCCATACCTGGTGCAGGCCTATCGGCCCAAGGGGAGGGTTTGCAGCTTGAATGTCTTCCCACATTGTACTCTCTGTAAGCAGACCCGATAGCAGCCACTCCATGACTCGTCTCAGCAGCCTCCTGTGCATGCCTTCCTGCCCCCTTAGCACCCTCTCTAGACTTGATTGCACCGCATTCACTGTGAGGAAAAGGGCCTGAAATGGGTGTGTGTGTGGGGAGGGAGGAGGGGGGGGGGGTGTGGTGGGGTGGGGAGATGGGAGAGAACGGGAGAAAAGAAGATGGGTGCATGAGAGGGAGAGAGATGAGCAGCCTCCCGTGGGTGCCTTCAAGCCCCCTTAGCACCCGCTCTAGGCTTGATTGCACTGCATTCACTGTGAGGAATAAAGCCTGGAATTGGGGGTTGGGGGTTGGGGGAATGGGGAGATGGGAGAGGATGGGTGCAGGGGAGGACGGGGAAGAGAGATGAGCAGCCTCCTGTGCATGCCTTGCTGTCCCCTTAGCACCCGCTCTAGGCTTGATTGCACCGCATTCACTGTGAGGAATGAAGCCTGCAATGTGAGGGGAGGGAGAGGGATGGGGAGGAATGGGAGCGTAAGGGAGAGATAGGAGAGGAGAGGAGAGGAGCAGGGGAGAGAGGGGAAGCGAGATGAGCAGCCTCCTGTGCATGCCTTCCTGACCCCTTAGCGCCCTCTCCAGGCTTGATTGCATGGCATTCACTGTGAGGAATAGCGCCTGAAATGGGTGTGTGGGGAGGGAGAGAGGGGGGGGGGTGTGGTGGGGTGGGGAGATGGGAGAGAGTGGGAGAAAATGGGTGCATGAGAGGAAGAGAGATGAGCAACCTCCTGTGCGTGCCTTCCTGCCCCCTTAGCACCCGCTCTAGGCTTGATTGCACTGCATTCACTGTGAGGAAAAGGGCCTGAAATGGGTGTGTGGGGAGGGAGGAGGGGGGGGGGGGGGGGGGGGGGGGGGGGGGGGTGGTGGGGCGGGGAGATGGGAGAGAGCGGGAGAAAAGGGGTGCATGAGAGGAAGAGAGATGAGCAACCTCCTGTGCATGCCCTCCTGCCCCCTTAGCACCCTCTCTAGGCTTGATTGCACCGCATTTACTGTGAGGAATAGAGCCTGGGATGGGGGGGAAGGGAGGGAGAGGGGGGATTGGGGGAGATGGGAGAGAACGGGAAAGGATGGGTGCAGAGGAGAACTGGGGAAGAGAGATGAGCAGGCTTTGTGCGTGCCTTCCCCCCCTTAGCACCCGCTCCAGGCTGGATTGCATGGTATTCACTGTGGGGAATAGCGCCTGGAAAAGGGGAGGGAGAGGATAATGGGAAAGCACGGGAGAGACACAGAACAGAGGGAGTAGAGGGGTTGAGAGGGGTGGGAGGAAGGATGATGGAAAAAGCAGGAGCAGGGATGAAAGGTGAGCAGTTAGGGAGGGCGGGTTTCTGTGACACACACGAAGCACTCACCTGGAAGGGGGGCGATGGCAGCGGGTGCATCATCCACTGCTGCAGCTTGGTGCATGCATCCATGCCCAGGTACTCGTCTGCACACAGCACTCGCTCCCCACTCTCGCTGAACACAAACCCGCCCCACAGCGACGCGCAGAAGATCTCCCGGATTCGCCATGCCGCTCTTTGGATTCTCGCCCTCCACACCTTCTGCTTCGCTAGATTGCTGGGCGCAGCGAGGGGTGGAGAGGGGTGATGGCGAGGGGCAAGAAAGGGAGGGGAAGAGTCCGGTTCAGTCAGAATTCAGGGAGGATTCAGCAGGAATGTCACACCATCCCGCGTCACACATCACAAGGATAAAAAAGCGACACCTTACATCACCCCACATCACCCCACGTCACCCCACATCACCCTGCGTCACCCACATCACCCCACGTTAACCCACATCACCCCATCCCATCATGCACGTACTATTGCTGCCTCTCAAGCCATGTGGACCGTGCCTTGCTCCTCCTCCCACCTTTCTTCCGCCCCTCCCCCATTTCCCCTGCTCCCACCCCGTCCACATCCCCCCCACCCTCCCCCACCCCCTCCCCTTCCTCTCCCCCACCGTCCCTCCCTCCCTCCTCACTCTCCTCCTCCTCATCCTCCCCCACACACCCCAGCCCCTCCTCATCCTCTATATCCGCTATAGTCAGCCTCACTACCAGTCTCGGAAGCAGCTCATCGGCCAAAGCAGCTACATTACCCAGCACAGCAAGCTGCTGCGCCTCTGTCTCTGCTTCCTGCACATGATACACATGCCAGCTGTTGGCTGGAGGGTCCAGAAGCGGGTTGCTGTGATCGATTGTGTCTTCTTCTAGCTCTGCTTGTGCCAAAGCGTCATGTAACGAGGACAGGTCTCGCAGGGAGGAACGGCCAGCAGCAGCAGCAGCAGCAGCAGCAGCGTCAGCACTCTCGCCATTTAACAGTCTCTGCTGGCTGGCGTTCCGTGAAATGGACACCTCTTCCCACACCTCCTCCTCCCCCTCTCCCTCTGCTCCCCCATTCCCCTCTCCTGCCTCCTTTTCTCTCTCCTCCCTTTCTGCCCCTCCCTCCTCCCCTCCCATCACATCTCCTCCCATCCCATCTGACACAGTCACACCCTCCGCACTCTCACTCCCACTCCCACTAACCCCTCCCACTTGCCCTCTCACTCCCCCTTTTCCCCTCCCCCCATCCTCTCCCCCCTCCATCATCTGCTGCGCCCTTTCTCTCCTCCGCCTCTGTGCCCGAGCACCAACAGAGCCAGGTGCCGGGGGGGGCGTGGTGTCAGGTGGAATCTCAGGTAGCGCCAGCTCCATGAGGCTTGCAAAACACTCAAACTGCGTTGCGATGGCGTCGAGAACCTTATCCAGTAAATGGAGGCCGATTACAGGGAGTATGTCCTCGATCAGGTCCTGGGGGGAGTGAGAGAGTGGGGGAAGAGGATAGTGCAGAGAAACTGAGAAAACTCTCACGATTCAAGTGGAGGCTGATTACAGGGAGTATGTCCTCGATCAGGTCCTGGTGGGAGTGAGAGAGAGGGAGACAAGGAGGCGCGGGGAAAGAGGAGGGAGAAAGAAAGAGAGTAATGCCTTTTAGGTTGATGCCAGGGAGTATGTCCTCAACTAGGTTATGGAGTGGGAGAGAGGAGAATGAGAGAGGACAGTGAGAGCAAGACACTTGGATCGAAAGGTCTCCAGTTCGAATCCCGCATGCACCACAACCAGTGTCCTAGCAGAAAGTATCCCAAATTTCTCCCACGACACATTCAAGACAGTTTGAAGGTGACAGGTTCGAATCTCAGCTCCGAAACTTTGTTGCTCATAGCAGTATTTCCCTCTAACACCACCATTACCAGTAACACTCACCATAAGCAGAAGGTAGAACCGCTGAGCACTGGCCGTGAGCCTGATCCTTAGCCCGCTCAGCCCCAGCACTCACCAGAAGATCCCCACCTTCATAGCAGCAATACGCAGCCCACCGCCACACAAACTCGCCACCACCACCACTACCACTCACCACGATCAGCAGGTAGAATCGCACAGCACTCGGTGTGAGCCTGATCCTCAGCCCGCTCAGCCCCAGCACGCCCTGTCACCCCCACCCCATGTGCCCCCCAGCAGCAACTGGCAACCCATCACCACCACCACTCACCACGATCAGCAGGTAGAATCGCACAGCACTCGGTGTGAGCCTGATCCTCAGCCCGCTCAGCCCCAGCACGCCCTGTCACCCCCACCCCATGTGCCCCCCAGCAGCAACTGGCAACCCATCACCACCACCACTCACCACGATCAGCAGGTAGAATCGCACAGCACTCGGTGTGAGCCTGATCCTCAGCCCGCTCAGCCCCAGCACGCCCTGTCACCCCCACCCCATGTGCCCCCCAGCAGCAACTGGCAACCCATCACCACCACCACTCACCACGATCAGCAGGTAGAATCGCACAGCACTCGGTGTGAGCCTGATCCTCAGCCCGCTCAGCCCCAGCACGCCCTGTCACCCCCACCCCATGTGCCCCCCAGCAGCAACTGGCAACCCATCACCACCACCACTCACCACGATCAGCAGGTAGAATCGCACAGCACTCGGTGTGAGCCGAATCCTCAGCCCGCTCAGCCCCAGCACGCCCCCCCACCCCCTCAGCCGCATCACACCCAGCTCAACCGCTTCCAACCGCCACTCATCGGTCGTAGCCACTGACACCACCGCATCCTCAATCCTCAGGATATTAAACTCCAAAGCCTCCATCACACTGGGCCGCATGAGTTCTCCGAGCATCGGAGCGAGACAGATCCCTTGGGGTTCTAGTAACCGCGCGTGGCCGAGGGAAATGCAGACGCACTCGGAAGCGGCGTGGAGGCCGCCAGGGGAGGCGGCCGAGCAGAGGATGTTGCGGCGGAGGAGGGAGAAGGCGAAGGTGACCTCGCGACGCGCCCAAAGGAGGAGGTCGGCGGAGCAAGCTGGTTGGTCGGCGAAGATTATGGCTGAATCGGCTGTTGCCTGGGCTATGGCTGAAAAGACAATCTGGGAAAGGGGAGAGGGGCGGGGGGAGGGAGTGGGGGAGGAAAAGGGGGAGCTGTCAGTGGGAGCAAGCGAGGCAGGGAGGTAGCACGAGGGAAGGCCGCCCGGGGAGGCGGCGGAGCAGAGGATGTTGCGGCGGAGGAGGGAGAAGGCGAAGGTGACCTCTCGCCGCGCCCACAGAAGGAGGTCGGCTGAGCAGGCTGGCTGGTTGGCAAAGATTATGGCTGAATCGGCTGTTGCCAGGCCTATGGCTGAAAATACTATCTGGAGGGGGGAGGGAGGGGGGACAAGGGGAGTGCATGAGTGGGTGTGGCTGAGGGAGACTAGAAAATTTGAAGGAAATTATCATCTGGGGATGAGGAGCACCATAGGGGGAGAGCAAGGGGGACAGGAGGTTGAGGGATGGGGCTGGGGGGCGGGAGCATGTGAGTGGGATACAAAAAAACAAACGCACACGCGAGTCTGAGCGCGCACACACGCACGCGTGCGCGCGCACGCGCACGCACACAAAACACACGCAAACCACACACACACATCCCCTCACGCACACACACCCACCTTCGGCAGCTCAGCATTTCATGACCTGCCAAACCCAGCATCACCCCCTCTTCCCCACCTCCCTCACCCACCCGCCTTCCCCCCTCCCTCCCCCCCACACACACACCCACCTGTGACAGCAAGCAGTGTACGAGCCGCCAAACCCAGTCGCAGACCGATGGAGCGAACTACCCCAGGCGCATCAACCGGGTAACCGCAAACCGCAGCTCCTCCCCCAACACGTCCGAGTGCCGCGCCGTGCGCTCCAGCTCAGCAACCAGCACACCTTGTTCCCAGGCCCGCTTCGCTCCCACCCACCCACCCGCCTTCCCCCTTCCCCACACACCCACACACCCACCTGAGAAAGAGCAGAAGTGTATGACCCGCCAAACCCAGTGGCGGACCGATGGAGAGACCTCGCACTCCGCCTGGTCCTCTCCCCATATGCACCAAGCAGCAGCTGATGCGCCAGCTCTAACTCCCCCAGCCGCGTCAACCCATGCATCATCCCCAGCATGCTTCATTCCCACCCCCTTTCTCTCCTTCCTTCTTCCTCCCCCCGCCCAAAACCCCCACCTCCCCTCCCCTCACACCCACCTGTGATAGAGCAGCAGTGTACGACCCGCCAAACCCAGTCGCAGACCGATGCAGCGACCGAGCACTCCTTCTGATGCGCTCCCCATAGGCGCCCAGCAGGAGCTGATGCGCCAGCTCCAGTTCCCCCAGGCGCATCAACCCGGTAACCGCAAACCGCAGCTCCTCCCCCAGCACGTCCGAGTGCCGCGCCGTGCGCTCCAGCTCAGCAACCAGCACCACGTGGCGCTCTGCTATTGCTGCTGACAGGGCGAGCGCCGCTGACTCACTCAGAAGCTCCGTTGCTGGAGCGCCGTCCGCCGCGGGTTCGGTTTCAGGGGTATTATCGCCGCCCGGAACGAGAGAACTATCAGTGATGTTATTATCATCAGTGACGTGATGTGAACCCTGGATATTGATAAGGGCGTCAGTTGTGCTCTGCTCCTTATCAACCTCTGGGTTGCCGTCTTTCTTGTGCTCTCCTCCTCCCTGGCTGGAGATTTTCTGAGGGGGGTTTCCGGCCTTTACACTCTGCTGGATATTGTTAGAAATGATCCTCTTATTCAAGACTTCAGCCTCCTCTGCCCTCCTTTCTTTCCTCCCCTCTGCCCCTTCCCTTTCCCTTCCCTCTGCTGCCGCCTCAACAGCTCTAGCAGCAGCAGCCGCCGCAGACGCTTTTGCAGCACTCCGCCTCCTGTCCTGAAAGCTTACCCCCTGCCGTGAGCCCTCCCCCACATCCCCAGTCCCCAACCTCTCGCCCCCCAAACCTGCATTCCCCACGTTCTCCTCCACACTTCTCGCTCGAGGCCCCGTTATCACACCCCCTTTCAAACCCTCTTTCAAGCTTTCTTTCAGGCTGCCTCTCAAGCCCCCTCCTCCTATAGGCACATTATCCACGCTGCTTCCCTTCCCCATACCCTCATACACATACCCCCACTCCTCTCCACGCGTCCCCCCAGTAAGAGACCTCTTTGTGAGTGGCCTTTCATCCCAACCCTGCTCCGACCCTGCTCTTCGTTGCTCTCCGTGCTCTCCCTCCTCCTCCTCCTTTTCCTCCTCCTCTCCCACTTCATGTTCCTCCTCTTCCCCTTCCACTCCCCCCTCCTCCTCTCTCAACCACCGTTCCACCCGCCCTTCTTCCCTCTCCTCCCCACCACCCTTTCCGTCCCACACCTTTCCTCTCTCCCCACCCACCTCCCCTCCCACCCCTTCTCCACCACCCTCTCCCGCTTCCCCTACCGCAAACTCCCCCTCCTTGTTCCTCCTCCGCTCATGTGACTGTAACGAGAGCTGCGCCATCTGCTGCCCCTGCTCCAACAACTCAATCGCCTGATCAATCTTCTGCTCCGTTATAAGCCCATCCAATACATCAGGCAACGCCTCCGCATACCTCTCCATCTCCGTCGGCTCTCTCTCCTCCTCATCCCACCCCTCCTCCATCCCCTCCTCCTCCTCTTCCTCCTCCTCCCACTCCCCATCCCTCCCCCTCGTCCTCCTCCTCCTCAGCCTCACCTCCCCTCCTCCCTCCCCATCCTTCCCCATCACACTCCCTGTACTACCAACCGACCACACCTGACCGCTCTCCCTCGCCCCGCCCCCATGCCAACCCGCATGGGGCGTCCCCGGGGGAGAGGAGTGCACAGAATGGTCAGGCGTATGGCTAGAGTCCGACCCGTCGTCGTGAATCCCCCCGCCTTCGGACCTCCGGCGGGTGTGATGCGGCGAGGAGTGGGCGAAGAGGGAGAGCGCGAGGGTGCGGCTCTGGCAGCTGCCTTTCTCCGCGAGCGAGTGGATGAGCGCCGTGTTGAGCGTCAGCATCTCGCGCATGCGCTTCAGCTGCACCTGGAAGGCCGAGATCTGCTTCGACGTCCTGGGGAAACAGGGAGGGAAACAGCGAGAAACGGAAGGATAACAAGGGGAGTATGAATGGAATCTGAACCTCGAGCAGGAGCATGTGCAGTGGCTCAACCCCCAGTACGACCCCCATCATCATCATCAGCAGCAGCAGCAGCAGCAGCAGCAGCAGCAGCAGCAGCAGCAGCAGCAGCAGTGGGGTGGTGGGGAGGAGGAGTGGGCGAAGAGGGAGAGCGCGAGGGTGCGGCTCTGGCAGCTGCCTTTCTCCGCGAGCGAGTGGATGAGCGCCGCGTTGAGCGTCAGCATCTCGCGCATGCGCTTCAGCTGCACCTGGAAGGCCGAGATCTGCTTCGAGGTGCTGGAGAGAAGAGGGGTGGTGAGAGGAGGGGAAGAGAAAAGAAAGAAAGAGAAAATGGTTCGGAGGGGGGATGGGGGATGGGGGATAGGGTAATGGGAGAGGGTTGGGGAGGGAGAGGGAGAGAGGGGTGAGGGGAGGGAGATGGGAATTGGAGAAGGAGCGAAGGGAAAAAAACAAGACAAGAGAAGGCAGCACAGAGGGATGTGAAGTTTCTCATCCGCTTCACCTGCACTGCACCCCCGAGAGCGGAAGGAGCGTTGGGAGCTACACAAGTGGAGTGCGGTGGGTGACAGACTGACCGTATGAAGGCGGGGTAGTTGGCATACACACTCCGCCGCATCTCCCCTGCTGACACCCGCCTGAACTCGTATGAGAGAGAGGCGATACTTGACAGTACACGCTCCGTGTTTGGAGTGACTAGGCCATGCAGATGTGGAGAGCAGAGGAGTGTGTGACTGACCGTATGAAGTCGGGGTAGTTGGCATACACGCTCCGCCGCATCTCCTCTGCTGACACTCGCCTGAACTCGTATGTGAGAGAGGCGATACTTGACAGTACACGCTCCGTGTTTGGAGTGACTAGGCCATGCAGATGTGGAGAGCAGAGGAGTGTGTGACTGACCGTATGAAGGCGGGGTAGTTGGCATACACGCTCCGCCGCATCTCCTCTGCTGACACTCGCCTGAACTCGTATGAGAGAGAGGCGATACTTGACAGTACACGCTCCGTGTTTGGAGTGACTAGGCCATGCAGATGCGGAGAGCAGAGGAGTGTGTGACTGACCGTATGAAGGCGGGGTAGTTGGCATACACGCTCCGCCGCATCTCCTCTGCTGACACTCGCCTGAACTCGTATGTGAGAGAGGCGATACTTGACAGTACACGCTCCGTGTTTGGAGTGACTAGGCCATGCAGATGTGGAGAGCAGAGGAGTGTGTGACTGACCGTATGAAGGCGGGGTAGTTGGCATACACGCTCCGCCGCATCTCCTCTGCTGACACTCGCCTGAACTCGTATGTGAGAGAGGCGATACTTGACAGTACACGCTCCGTGTTTGGAGTGACTAGGCCATGCAGATGTGGAGAGCAGAAGAGTGTGTGACTGACCGTATGAAGGCGGGGTAGTTGGCATACACGCTCCGCCGCATCTCCTCTGCTGACACTCGCCTGAACTCGTATGAGAGAGAGGCGATACTTGACAGTACACGCTCCGTGTTTGGAGTGACTAGGCCATGCAGATGCGGAGAGCAGAGGAGTGTGTGACTGACCGTATGAAGGCGGGGTAGTTGGCATACACGCTCCGCCGCATCTCCTCTGCTGACACTCGCCTGAACTCGTATGTGAGAGAGGCGATACTTGACAGTACACGCTCCGTGTTTGGAGTGACTAGGCCATGCAGATGTGGAGAGCAGAGGAGTGTGTGACTGACCGTATGAAGGCGGGGTAGTTGGCATACACGCTCCGCCGCATCTCCTCTCCTCTGCTGACACTCGCCTGAACTCGTATGTGAGAGAGGCGATACTTGACAGTACACGCTCCGTGTTTGGAGTGATTAGGCCATGTAGATGTGGAGAGCAGAGGAGTGAGAGACTGACCGTATGAAGGCGGGGTAGTTGGCATACACGCTTCTCCGCATCTCCTCTGCCGACACTCGCCTGAACTCCGCTAGCTCCTGTGCCAGCCGCCGCACCTCCTGTAAGGGCCCAGAGGGGGGGAGGAGATGAGGGCGGCGGGTGGGATGAAAGTCGTCCCATCACTCGTCTAAACTCCGCCAGCTCCTGTGCCAGCCGCCGCACCTCCTGAAGGAGCCAGGGGCAAAATGGAGCATGGTGGGCAAACAAACAAGGGGAGTGAGGAGAGATAACTCCTGAGGCGCCTCAAACGTCATCTTATGTCTCGTCTGAACTCCGTCAGCTCCTGTGCCGGCCGCCACACCTCCTGTGGGAGGTGATGGGGCAAAGGAAATGAGGGGTGCAAGGGGAACAACAGGGTGGAGTGAGGAGGGACAACTTTCGAGGCGCCTCGAAAGTCTTCTGATGTCTCGCCTGAACCCCATCAGCTCTGCTGCCAGCCGCCGCACCTCCTGTGGGAGGAGGGGGGGAACAAGGGGAGCAAGGGGAACAGCGGGGTGCAAACAATGCGGACATGGTCCCAATGTCTCCTCCATTCGTCTCAGTGCCCCGCTCATGGTCGCTCATAACCCCTCGAAATCCCTCATAATCCCTCGAAACCCCTTGAAATCCCTCATAATCCCTCAAAATCCGTCGCACCGCTTCGTCCCACGAGACTCACCCATTCGTCGTTCTCCTCCATCTGCTCCTCCGCGTATGCCTCCGCATCGAACCGATCTTGTGAGAAATTCATCGCGACGAATTGTTCTTCGCCACGAGCTTGCAAAACTCCCCGTCACGAAGTTCGAGACTTTGTTCGCCACCCAATCAGAAGGCTGTGACTTCGTTCCGTTTTTGCCGGAGTGGATCACCGATTTTTGCCCAAAAAATCTCCTCCGACTTTCTCCGAATGCTTCGCTTGACTTAAAGCCTTGCTGTAGTCTCCGCCTTCGATTCCGCTTGAGCTCCCGCGTCAGCGTCACTTCGTGAACGGGCGTTCCGACACCTGCCGCCACGTGAAATGAGGGTGTTTTTGACACGTCTCAAAATTTTCCGCCTTCCGCCTTGCTTTTCGATCGCTCCCCCCTTCCTCCCGGCCTTTCGCCTCCGCTCTACCCGCACGGACTCGCCACGAAGTTACCTCCAACTGTACGAATACTTTTTTCGCTATCGTTTAGAACTGGGACTCTCTCGACCGTGAGGTAACATGGTAACATCGGTTATGTAAAGCAGTATGCTTGTGCCACATAGGTTACGCAATGATACGATAGGCTACTGCGTCAGTCGAATCGAGGCCAATAAGATATGCATCGCGAAGGTTATTATAGCATACGGATTCTATGAACGAACGGTACCATAGAGTTGAAAGCGATGGTTCGTAACTAACGTAAGTGCTATCACTGCAGTATTAAATTATACGCGTCCAGCCAGACAGACATCGCAGCACCTATTAGGGCACCTGGCAGGACGCATTTTATCTCCGCATTGCTTGCTAAGGCTCTTACACTGCCGAGTCATCTGGCTTCACAGGCACATTACTGCGAGCAGTCACATACATCGGAACAGCTGCTCCCTTTCCTGTCAGCGTTACTTTCGGATGCATGTAGCTGCTTTCTGCTCTCTTGTATCCCGTAAACATTCTAAAACGCGACTTTCTACTAGTACGAATGGGACAAGATCGTGCATCCAATACAGCGAATGCTACATTTGTCCCATCGACCCGAGTCGTCGTCGTTGCATTCCGCTCCGCACTATTCGCTCAACGGAGCTTTTCGCGGATACACTTGACGACTCCAATCCAAAGCTTTCAGGGCGGGTCCAACTCATCACAGCTCAGGTCAGTATGGGGAACAGTAACCCTTTTTTGTAGGGTAACCGCGTCAAAATTCGAGATCAGCCTGGATGCCGCGCTCGGTTTCCCAGCTTGCAAAACCAGTCCCATTTCACATCACATAATGCACTCGATTTTCAACCGAAAAAATTGCAAACTCAACCACGGCCACAAATCAACTCCTGCTGCCTCAAATGTTGGTAACAAGGTTTACCTACGTCGAGCGAGCGAGCTGTTCTTCGACAATGCAGATTCAGTCGCCCAAACGGGGCCACAAATCAAACCCTAGTTACCCATTCGACAAGTTTAGCTTTCGCGAACCGAATGTATTCGTCCCAATTCAATTCGCATGGGCGGGATGTTGTGTCCGCGTGGGCCTGGCAGTTCGTCTGTGCGGGAACCCAAGTCCGCGTAGACCCTCCAGGACTTGGCACGTGCTTGCGTTCGGATACCCTGCTTGAAACCCGGAGAGATGGCAATTCGTTACCGAGGTAGCAAACCGCCAAATTGATATGAGTTGGACCCGCCCTCAGTATGGGGTAGGAGAATGCACTGAAAGAAAGAAACTGAACTGGCACTGGTGGTTTGCTCTGCTGCATAGGTGCGAAACAAAGGAGCAAAACAGTACGGAGGACGAGACTGGGGATGTGCACTGTGGATGACTACTGTTATGCAGTTTTTTGGGTTGCGAAGCAACCCTTTACGATCGATTTGGCCAGGTTTTTTTTTCCACATTTTATATTTATTTAAAATAAAAATGTGAAAATAAAAACTGAAAGCACTACCTGCTACCTATTTAATACAAGAAATCCCGACTAGTTCAATTATATTATAATGGTAGTTATTTTCTGTCAATAACTAGGTTGTTCTTGTGATAGTATGCTGTGATTTACCATCAGATAATATGCGCATATGGTGAAGAGATGAATATAATGATTGGTGAATGGAGATGAATATAATGATATTATATGAAATATAATGTATTATGTAAGATATGATAAATGTGAATTATATGCCTTGTGTTTGCAATAAATAATGATTAGTATAGACAATCCATGATGCATATTTATAATGATTTAAATGCGTGAAAGCTAATGACCAAAAAACTATGCTACCGCATCCCCTGCCTAGCATGGGGGGGAGCTAATAGCATAATCCTTGAACAATCAGCAGTCACATGAAACAATATAATCTGTGAACTCTAAAAAGATGGTCAACTCTATCATCTCCAGTTCAAGTGGGCTCCCGACAGGCGCGCCAATGAACCTTCTAATGAAATGATAGACCTGATTCACCTTTTTAAAACCCACAGACATGCATTGATATTGCAATGATGATATGGATTAATGAAAATGAATAAATACACACATAACACATACACACACACACATACATATGTCAAACATTATATATGTTGGGTTTGTTAGGCTACAGTGGGTTAGCCTATATGGGGTACACAATTCTAGGGTTTGCTATTTGTACTGATTTCTCTGTTAGTTCAATCATTCCAGTCCGTTCATTCTGACATGGTTTCAGAGCAGGTCCTTCGCTAGGACCTAACTTCTCTTCGGGCCCACCACTACCTACTACCTACTACCTACTAGCGCCCTCGTGCGCCCTACTATCGGAGTGCGCTTTAGCGCCTCCCCCCTTAGCGCCCTCGAGCGCTTTCTTTTTTTTTTTTCCCGGCCCCGCTGGCCCCGTCGATCGCGCCCCGCTTAGTGGCCCCGCGGCCCCGTCGCGCCTCGCCTAGTGGCCCCGCGGCCCCGTCGAACTCACGCGCGCCCCGCTTACGGCCCCGTCGACCCCGCGCGCACCCCGTGTAGAGGCCCCGCGGCCCCGTCGTCCGCCACCACACGGAGGCCCCGTCGACCCGCGCGCGCCCCGCTTACGGCCCCGTCGACCCTGCGCGCGAGAGCCCCGTCTAGAGGCCCCGCGGCCCCGTCGCCCGCCACCACACGGCCCCTCGACCCCGCTGCGCCCCGCTTAGCGGCCCCACGGCCCCGTCGAGCCCCGCTTAGAGGCCCCGCGGCCCCGTCGCCCGCCACCACACGGCCCCTCGACCCCGCTGCGCCCCGCTTAGCGGCCCCACGGCCCCGTCGAGCCCCGCTTAGAGGCCCCCGCGACCCCGTCCCGCCCCTCTTAGCGGCTCCGCGCAGCCGCGCAGCCCGAACCGAGCCGCGCCGCCCTACCTGAACCGAGCCGCGCCGCCCGACCGAGCCGCGTCGACCGTTCTAGCAGCCCTGTTGATCCTACTGCTACTCCTACTGCTCCTACTGCTACTGTCACTATGGCTAGTCCGCCAGTTCTAGCTTTCGATGCCGAGGGCCGTCCAGTGAAGTTCGAAACCTGGCTCGATGACCTGCACCTGTTCCTACAGCTCACTGCCAAGGAAGATATCTCACTGTACGACCACGCCCTAGGCCATGCCACTGCCCCTGACTCGACTGCTGACAGCACTCTGCGTTCCCAGTGGCAGACCCGTGATGCGCACGCTCGCTTTGCTATTCGCAACTCCCTGCCGCTAGACGAGCGCGAGCACTTCGGCCAGTGCAAAACTGCTAAGGACCTCTACACCGCTGTAGTTGCCCGCTACTCCTCGCCAGCTTCTGCCACACTAGGCCGCCTCACTCTCCCCTACCTGTTCCCCGACCTAGCCTCCTTTCACACTGTCGCAGACCTCATCACCCACCTTAAGACTAGTGAGGCCCGCTTTCGCGCTGCTATGCCTGCCGAGTTTCTCACTAGCAACCCCCCCCCGCTCTGGATCACTCTCTACCACATCGTCACCCGGCTCCCTGACTCTCTGCGCGCAGTCAGGGACCACTTCCTCTCTCGCTCCCCCACTGAGCTCACTGTTGCCCTCCTCGAGAAGGAACTGCTTGCAGCTGAGGCGAGCATCGTCGCTGTAGGCACCTCTCGTGGCGACCCCCGCACCCCGTTCTTTGAGGGGTGTTCCCCTTCCCCCCTCCTCCCCTCTGTCGCCTCTGCTGCTGCTGTCGACCTTCTTGGTGCTGAGAAGGTCGGGACCGCGTCTGCTTCGAGTGGGCGCCGCAGGACCAAGGGCGGCAGGGGTGGGGGTGGCGGCGGAGGAGGTGGGGGTGGAGGCGGTGGGAGTGGAGGCGCGGCTGGGGAGACTAGTGGCGGCAGTGGGGGAGGAGACAGCAGCGGCGGGAGCGGTGGCAGGGGCGGAGGCGGCAGCGGAGGTGGAGGTGGTCGTGGCGGCGGCAGGGGTGGAGGTGGCCGAGGCGGTGGTGGTGGCGGTGGTGGTCGTGGAGGCACTGGCGGAGGCCAGAGTCAGCAGCCCGCCCCGACGCTTCAGGCCGCCCGTGAGTGGTATGCGCAGCGTGGCTGTACCTGCACGTACGTCATTCGCACAGGTGACCGCAGCGGCCAGCAGTGTGGGAGGCCGCACCCCACGCAGCGCTGCTTTGCGCGCCTTAACGACGCGTGGCGCACCCAGTTTCCTGATGCCACTGAGCTGCCGCGCTGGGCTGATCTGGAAAAGAGGGGTGTCGATATTTGGGCTCTAGACTTTGATGCTATTCTCACTGCCATGTATGCCATGTCTATTAGTGGAGAGGGTGCTCAGTACTTGCGTGTTCCGCCCGACCCGGGCATTCAGGCCAGTCCGGCCGCCGCTCTAGGTGCTAGTGCGTCTGCTCCCACAGGTCCTGGTGAGGCCGCTGCTCTAGGTGCTCGTGCGTCCGTGCCCCCTGGTACTGAGTCGACTGCAGCACTGCACACCTTCACACTGGACTCAGGTGCTTCTCGCTCCTTCTTTCGTGACCGCACTGTCCTTGAGCCACTCGCTCGGCCAGTTGCTGTCTCCCTTGCTGACCCCTCTGGGGGTCCGGTCATTGCGACCTCCTCCACTGTCCTTCCTTGTCCGGCGGTCCCGTCCGGCACGCTGTCAGGTCTCT